AGAAAAATGTCAAATGATAGGAATGCCCAGACTGGACACTTAAATAGATAAAGGAATGGTGAGAATTTGGGCTGTCAATTAGTCTTAATAAAGCTATATTTAAAATTATAAATTAGAATATTTATATCTTTGCTGCAAGAAACTTTATTGCTTCAACTGTACTTTTTAAATATTTTTTGTACTATGAATTTCATTTAAAATGTTCATTTTAATAATTTAATAACTGATGTTTTATACAAAGGAGAGGGATGCAACAGTGGTCACAGCTGGGTCAGTAAAGCAAAATTAACAGGAGATAAGTGGCCAGATATATATACTCAGAAAAAGCAAGAAGAATTTGGGGACTTCTGAAGAACTAGTAAACTTCTGTATATATCTCTCAAGAACTGCATGATGTGAATCTGTCTATGCTTTTCCTAACTTTATAATCAGCTCCCAAGGAATTTCTCTGCATTTCAGTGTGGCAGAAGCAAGGGACTATCCTAGAATTATGAGAGATACATAATTTAACCAGCTACAAGTTTAACCAAAATAAATTAGACTTTAACTTTCGGTATAACCACAGGAAAACTGACAGGTAATTGAAAATGGATGTTATGTTCTACAGAATCTGAACTGGAATGCTCTTAATTCCAATTTCACATAAATCAGTCATATGAAATTGTCTCCTGTGATTTAATTATCAAGATCTCTCTACTCACTTTTTATGTACAATTGCCAAACTTGGGATATTCATTTTTTCCCATTTGAACTGCTTGGAGCAGCAAGTTAAATTGAATTCTTACAGCCCACTACAAAAATAATCAGTTTCTCGCAACGGCACCTAAACATCCAATTATTTCTCTTTATGTGAAGTTCTTCTCAACTACTTTGAAACTTAGTATTTGAGGGAAAACTTTTCCATAAATATACTATCCCAAATGTGAGCAAGTACCAAGGGGGCTCTTCACTCCCTCTACTGGAAGCTGTACGTTATGTGAGACGTGACAAAAAGCCTTCTCAACTATGGCACACCAATTATAGAATGCCCTCACATTACAGGCAAGGGTGACATTAATTTTAGTTGTTACAGGATGACAAGTTGCTGGATGTCAGTATCAGTAGTCTGGTCTGTGTTTTTGGTTTACCTAAATCATTTATATTATGCTTTGCTTTTTAAGCATCCCACCCTTGGATACAGTGATATTGGGAAGGCTATGCATATTTAAATAATGATCTCTTCAAAGTTTTGCAAATAAAGCTAACAAACATAGGGACTTTTAGCAGTATAAACATTATAATAGCTACAGTTAATCACTGATTTAAAAAAATAACATGAAAGTGCTTACATATTGCCATTATTAGCTATTTTCTACAGCTAGTAGAAGCATAAACAGAATTATAGAGTAAGTTTATTTAGTCAGCAAAACTCAGGAGAACAGGAAATTTTTTTTTTTTAAACCACCATTCCATATTTTGCCATTTTTATTCTCTATAATTCTTAACAAGGCTAAAAAAAATGAAAACTTCACCTCTTTATACTGTCATGATATGAAAATATATCCCATCACCACCTGCATGTATACAACTGTTCTTGGAAAGTCCTCCCTCCACCAAATACCAGTAGTTTTGTTTTTAAGGGCTTTCCAAGGTCATGTTTTTCTTAATTGTGTATAATACCAGTGTTAAGATAAAGTTTTGCAGATATGATTTATTTTAGTTTTCAAAGTCACAAGGATCATTGCTCTCAATGCTGGTGAGTCAAATGAAGATGGTCCGTGTTTGTACAAGCCTGGCAAGATTAGCTTTATTACATTCATCCTTTGCTAATTTGTAAATACAAATTGCAGTATTAAAGCCATGTATTTCAAAGCCATTATATATTTTTCTTGCACTGACACAAATAACATTTTCTGATTCCCCTATACTTTTTGAATTATTTTGCTGTATTAAAACAGCTCTATCAGTGGTCCATCTTCAATGGCAGCTAGCCAATAATTTGTTGGGGAAAATAACAGTACAAAATGAACATTTATCCCAGTAGTATTTAGGTATAAGTCTAGGATGAACATAAGGGATGTTATTTGGCTATTTTAGCTAATGAATGAATATCTAAGTTAGAAACACCACAAAAGTTTGAATCCTTGAATTTGATTTTTTTTAAGGTCAGCTGTTATTGTTCAACAAGACTAACAAGCATTTTTTAGCTTTAATGAAAGCTAAAAACGTAGAGTTAGTCGTAAGAGCATGTGTGTCTCTTATATTTAAGATTAAGGATGCCATATGTTTCTGAAAATTGGTACCTATTTTGGGGATGTGTCTTTTCCTAGAAAACAGTAACCAAGCTCCTTTTTCCACGAAACTTTATTTTTTCCATTAATATGTAACCAAAAGCTAGGACAGTACAACATATTATTTACTTCCAAAAATACATTGTTAGAAAATAAAACTAGTAGCATTCTAGGGCCCAGTGCTTTATTTTGTAAATTATCTGCCTTCAAGGGAAAAAACAAATATAAGCTATGTGATAGAACATGTTGTACATGGCTACAGGAATCCCAAAGAGCATCCTCACCAGCCTGCCCTTCTGGTAAATGAATGCTCTGTAACTAGTTTGTCAGGCTCTTTGTGATATTCATTTTGTAAATGAAACACCTGGGCACACCATTAGCCTTTCTAAAAGAATATTGACAGCATGCTCTTACAATTCTAAATCTGCCCACTGGACCAAAGCTAGAAATCTTGTTCCAGAGACTGTTAAGTCAAAGCAAGTGAATAACTGGGTTAGCCACTGATAAAGATGAGGAGTTATCCTCATGCCAAATAATCTCAAGTTGCTTAAGTAAAGAGAAATCTTCCATGTGACTACAAAAGGAGTCCAACCAGGCAGATTTCTATATGCTACCATTTTGGATGTAAGAGGCACCTACAATTTTTTAGCCTGACCAACAAAGCTGCTCAAACATTTAAATCTGTGCTTTAGTAATTTATGTTTCCTTGCACATCTGGAGTCAGGGATTAATGAGTGTTTTTAATAAGCAGTCACCCGGTGTTAAACTAATTATAGTAACTCTCATTTAAAATATATCATTTTATCATTCACTGCTAGCTTTTATGAATACAATTAAGTACAGTGATTTAATCTAGGAGTGACCAGCCTGCAGTCCTAGAATTCCTCTGTGACCAAAGCACCAACATTCAACAACAGAATTGCAACACTTTTTCTGTTAAGAGTTAAATTTATGAGCACTGAATGGAAAGATTAAGAATTTGGAGCACTGATTTCACCCATCATTCAGCAGTTGGGTGTGAACACAACTGAGCAATAAAACTATTAATAATTTTTTACAAAGTAAAAATTCCAATCCTCTAAACAAAATTGAAAACCAATCTCTGCAATATAACCTTATTTCACTGAGTATTTGTGCCCTGGCCACAATGGCTTCCATACCCCACAAAACATTAAACTTCATTCAAATATTGCCCATCAATCTTAAATGACAAACTACAGCTTATCTCTTTAAAAAGTGTTATGTTTTTAGATTAAATTCATGACAGAAATCTAAATGTTATTTCATTTTTTAGAACTGATTTTACTATTTTGACAGACCAGCAATTTTTGGGGATAATGTTGCTCTTTTTGAAGCCACATAGTCTCAGAAGAAAAAGACCAATGGGGTAGACAGAAAAGAGAATTATTACAATGCCACAAATAGCACACCCTGCCGACACTATTCTGAGACTCTAGGCACATCAAGGCAGATTCCACACAAAATCATATCATGCAAAAAAATTTAAATAATTTTCACAGGATCAGAAGAAAAAAAGATACAATTTGCATATCAAAAATAAAATGAGGAAAGATCAACCCAAAATGAGAAAAGCACACACATACGGAACACATTTTTTCCCATTGAGATAATTTGCCCTACAGTGTGGGACTTAAAAAAAAAAAAGACTATTTTCAAAAGACAGTTTCCCGAGTGAATATTCCCCACCAACCTCACTTACTGCCACAACCGCTCAAAATCTAGTCGCTGCCTTTTTTTTTAAACCTCTGCCAATTCTTAAAAGAGTTTACTTGTTAGCATAAAATGCTTGAAACGGGATTTCATTTGATTTCCTACGGAAGCAAAATATACTAACATCAAACATTTTTCATTACAATTCAGCAGCGGGAGTGGAGCAAGCGAGCAAGCGGGGTAGTGGGCATAAATAAATATAAAGGCGGAGAGCAGTAAAAAGAGCTGCAACTGCCTCCCAGGCGGAAAAAAAAAACCCCACGAAGGCTTATCACGCCTCCCCCTTCTGCTGTAGCTTCTCAACGCCGCCTCTAGAGCGAGCTCCGACTTTGCCACCCCGTGGTCATTAACCAAGAACAATCACGTTCTTGACTCAAAACGTAGTGCAGATGGAAATATTATCAATCCAATTCCGTAATTAAGACTGCGCCTTAAGGAAAAAAAACTCTTTACGAACCAGTGGGCAGCCCTACCCACCCGGCGCCCTCCAGACGGGTTATACGAGAACTTTCCCTGAAGGCTCCAGACGGCTGGGGACGATGGGACTTAAGAACCCAACACATCTCAAGGGCCGTAAAAGACTGCCCCCAAGTTAGCTTGCCTTTCAGCGGAGGTATCGGCGCAGCCCTATTCTTGTTTCCCCGGAACCCCGTCCCCTCTTCTCCCGCGTAGCGCCACAGAAGCAGCAATTCGCAGAACGTTTTTTTTTTCCGCCTTTCCCCGCAAGGCACAGCCGACGACCACTTTGCGAGAGCCGGCAGTGGCAACGTCGGGGAAGAGAGAGACACTCTTTCCCAGCGCGCGACCGCGGCCACAATCCCTCTTCCCTCTTCCCCCGCTGCGGGACACCATTTTCCCCTTGGCCGAATGCACCAGGCCGCCCACAGGACTGATGGGTGCACTGTAGAGGCTAACGGGAGGCGGGCAGAGATTAGAGGCCTTCCCAGCTCCTCCGTAAGGGTGCCAGGCCGCGCCGTACGCCGCCAACGCTTCGCTCACCTCGGCCCGCACGGCGCCGCTCCCTACCCCGACTGCCTGCTCCCCCGACACCCGCCCCGTGGCACCACGAGGCGCGGAGCTTGTTTACCAACTCGCCCCTGCCCTCTTGGTTTGAGGCCCGGCCCCAGGCTCCGCCCCCTCCCGCTTTCATTGGCTCCTCCAAAGCCGCCTCCTTTCCGTTGTCCAGAGATTAGCGCGAGAGTGGAGGTGTCAGGCCGGGGAGAGCGTGCTCGACTCGTGGAGTTCGCGTTCCGCCCAATGAAAAGCCGAGGCGGAAAAAGTGTCGGCCAATAGGAAGGCGGCGCTGCCTTCACCCATCCATGTTGCGCTGGTGGTTTCTGAGCTTTTCGCATGGTGACAAGGAGGCCCCTGGGTGGAAATGGACGTAGACTAGGCTTTGGGGGCGGGGAAAGCAGCAGGCCTGGTGCATGTGCGGGAGGGCACGTTCAGCCTTCCTCACAAAGCCCGCGGCTCTTCGGTGGGTTGCACTCAGCCCTCCCTTTGCACGATTAAACAAAGCTGGGATTCTCTCTTTCAAAGGACGCCTTCCCAGAAGGTGGGCTGCAAAATCTGAGATACGTGCCTTCCTGCACATATACAGCAGCAACTCAGTGGGCATAAGGGGCGATGCTTATGTTGCTAGGAAGAACAGGGATGCTTAGACTCTTTCTAATGAATGAACACGTCCTTCCTTCTTATTGATTGAATAAATGGTTGTTAAGCTGGGAAAGAAAGTTATGGAGGGGCAGTATGTAATCTTGTAAATTCAATTCGTAATTTATATAGTGTATTTTTTCAGCTCCCTTCATTCCTTTTGAAATGTAAATGGGAGTTTTTCTAAAAGTCACCACTAATCACTTGAAGTCGGTAAATGATATAAAATATGTCATTTCATTCAACAGCCTTGCTATTGTATGAACTAAAAAAACTCCTCACATTGCCCAGCTCTAGCATCCAGTTGTCACTGACCACATTGCATTATTGTGGCTTGTTCCTTTGACCTAGAATTCCCCCTTCTCTTGTAACATGATTATTTACCCACAGCTGAAGAAAAGCCAATAAAATTAAACTGGATATTTAACATTGGTACTTGAAAAACTTCTATCTCTGAAACTATATTTAAAACAAAAATATATGACTTCCTATTGCAACATTTAAGTTAAAAAAAACATGGGGAACAAATAGTAATTTTGCTTTGTTTTAAATTTTAGCACGAACATCCTCCCCATTTTTATATCTTTTCAGGTGACTAGGAATGTTTGATGTTAAAATCCAATATAAACAAGATTGGGGAAGACAGGAATTTGTCCCATGGAGTACAGTATATAATTAAGATGCAGTTCTATGTTCACTTATTTGACACTTCAAGATATATTTCTGATCATAAGATTGCTATTGTTGACTGTATTCTTGTACTCATTTACCTGAGAGTTAGCCCCATTGAACTCAGTGATTAGGTAAAGTTATATAGATTGTGCTCATCCAATGTATACAATAATAGTTCAGATTAAATTATTTTGAGCTGCAATTAAATTGTAGCAGGAAAAAAATGTATCATCTTGAACAATAATGTACTTATGATATGAACTTTGGTTTAAGTCCATGTGTTTATTTATTATTAACCAAATTTATAGAGCTGCCCATCCAGTCAAAACTCTAGGCAGCAAACAAAAGATAAAAACACAATAAACGAACTAAGTCAGTTAGTAGAATTTAGTAGAGGCCCTAAAAAAAATTTATCCTAACCACAATAACAGCCTCCACTAACATCCCAGCCCTAGGGGGAAACCAAGGTCAAGGCCTTTCAAAAAGCCTATAGAGTTGGGACTGAAACTCAGGCTGGAGTTTCTTTCATAAGGCAGACACCATGACAGAGAAGGCATGTTTTCTTTGCCCCATCAGGTGATGCTGCTTTACTGATCTGGTGGGGCAGACTAAAAACACCAAAGATAGGCAATCCCCTGTGCCATGTAGGACTTTCAGGATGACTACCAGTGCCTTGAATTGCATCTGGAAGCCCACTAAGAGCCAGTGTAGCTCATGTAGCAACAATGTCACATTTATTACATTTATTTATTAAATTTACTTTCCACCCATTTCTATTTGAAACAACTTGGGATGACTTACATGTGGTGCACTGAATATTGAGCATGCTGCCATATTTTGAACTAGCTTCCAAATCCTCACCCATCTCATACATAGGGCCAATAATAAAAACACCATAACTAACAATTAAAGTAACTGAGGTTAAACCAATCAGCACACTTAGCATAACTATAGTAGGTGCTCAACCACACACCTAGGGTCCCAGTCTCATCAAGAACAGAAGTCAAAAAAGAACAAATTCTATCTTTTCAGTAGATTAAATACATTCTGTTATTAAAATCAAACTCTTTTGCAACCTAATTGCACTTACTCAGGAGTTGATCTTTTAATTAGGTCTTATCCTACTATTGTCATTTGTGTTAAATTCTCTGTATGGCTTTTGAATGACGATTGGTTGTTAAGAAACTCATCTATTCTGTTGTGCCAAGAGGATGCAAATAGTTTAAACTTGATAGGACATACAATACTTTTTTTCCCAACTGCCTTTTTAAATGAAAATATAGATTTATTAGTACTGTGCTTGTCATGATTGAGGGGAAGTCCTAATTTACTGATTAATTATGTACCATTAAGTCAATGTCAATTCTTAGCAACACATAGATTTACAATATATTGTTCATTCATATGGTTTTCTTGGTAAAATACAGAGTGGTTTACCATTGACTTTTCCTGCGCAACATGAAATTGTCCATTACTGTTGTTATTAAACAGATCTCTCACCTCCAGCATCTTCCTATATCACTGCTGCCAATATAGATGTCTGCTTGCTTTAGCTAGACAGCTGGGATGACCTTCATGTCTTAGATGACCCTGCTGGGATTATATATTTGGATGACCCTGCTGGGATTATATACTCTTAGATTATACCTTGAGTATGTTGGGCCATGAGCCTAATAAAGTTCCAGATAAAGAATTAGGTACATAACTAATTAGTATATATATTTTTGTGGATAATGTCCTCAAGAAGCAATTCTTATACCAAATAATAATGATAGTTTTCGGTACCATTTACTATTACTAATTATGCATATATTAAAATTACTGGTACTCAGCTTTTCTTCTAAAGAAACAACAGTGTCTCATTTGCATAACATAAAAATCTGCTTCTCTTAAATGACTGAGTGGATTATGTTACAAACTACTATGAAAGCTTAATGGAATTTCATGAGCAACTAAAAGCAATACACACTCAAACTTCTTCATATAGACACAACAATTTTCTATTGTGCAGCTTTGCCTGTTGATCAGGGCTTCTGTGATTTTTTTTCTTTTTTAACTAACAAGTTCCATGTACTGAAAAAGTTTGAAAATCCCTACTGTATTCTCTTTACCTCTCTGGTTGCGAGATGTTTGTAATATTAAGATTCCAAGCTAATGTAAAGTAAAATTATTGTGACAGTGGCACTGGGAAGGTAGAAGCTGGTATCTACAATTTTATTTCATTCCAGTCATCTATCCCAAATCTGTTTTGTTCAAATATATTTCATTTTATTTTTCCAAGTATATGTGATAAAAGCAACTGATAGCAATGAAAATTATCAAATATATTTTAAAAAATCATTTGAAAAGTATCAATAATGGAATGTCATTATATAAGGTACTTGTAAATAATGTGTAATCATACCAATAACATGAGATTCAAGGGTATTTACTCCCAGATACTCATGTAATGTAATCCTAACATTTTGAAAAGTATATTTTAGATGTGGTCCAATAAATCATAATTAGAGATGTCATGTTAGAACAGTGATGGCGAACCTTTTAGAGACTGAGTGCCCAAACTGCAACCCAAAACCCACTTATGAATTGTCGAGTGCCGGGTGGGCGTGGCCCATTGGGTGGGCGTGGCTGCGGTGGTAACAGCAGACTGGGTGGGACTAAAAAGTTCAATCAATCAATTCCAACTTTGCAAGATCTTTTTTTTTCCCGCGAGAAGTTGAAATTGACTGATTGAACCTTTTTTTTTTTTGCACACGGCGGCGGAGGCCTAAAGCGAAAAGGTTTTATAAAACCCAGCTGAAGGCCTAGGACTGGGGCAACTGTGCGTGTGCCCACAGAGAGGGCTCTGAGTGCCGTCTCTGGCACCCGTGCCATAGGTTCGCCACCACTGTGTTAGAATAAAACAACCCCAGTTATGAAGCTGTAAAATGTTCTCTCTCTTACGTGCATGTGTTATGATGCCACCTGGCATTTACAAGATGGACAGTTGCTGTATACATCCTCTTATCTCAGGCAAGATATTTCTCTTCTGGGAAAGTGAGGACCATTCTCTGTCAGGAGACAAATAAAGATGGGAAAGGGAAAGAAAGAGCTAAGATTCTCTCCCAAGTTCTGATTAAACTTGGAATTTACAGCAAGAAAAGTATTCCAGGTAATAAATTGGCATAGAAATAACTTCAGCCCTTTAGTATCAGGTCAGCCACAAGAAGGGGTCAAAGTGTCTCAGGTGGTAGAGGTGACAGTGCAGAAAACTTACCCTTTTGTATTAATATGCACATAGAAAAAGAGTGAGGCTTTGAATTTAATAAGGAATTTTTAGGATTCTTGCTAGACCACTATATGTATGACATATTTGTAGATAACAAGATCACTAATAAAAATGTCATTAAAAATCTTAACTTTTTTCATTATGTTACTTTATTTGTGAATTTATATAATTTTAATCTGAAGTGGATTTCAGTATTTTCTGTAGCAGAAAGTTTTCTTTTCCTCCACTTGGAATAAATATTATTATTCAAATATCTTCTTTTACATCAGTATTTTTATTAGCCTTCTGATTTGTTTGAACTGGCCTTCAGCTTTGTATGGCCTAAGATAATTTACACTGAAAATTATGTTTTAATGATGGGATCTTTGGCCTGCACTGAATGGCTTCTATCCAATAAAATAACTGTTTTACCACACTGTAAATTTCTCTACTTTCTT